AGTACCCTTCACATAGCAAAGGATGTGCAACACAGCAGAATGATGCGTGGTTCTCGGAGCAGCCATAAACTGACTCACAATATGAACAACATGAGCTATATCAGGCCGAGTGACAGTCAAGTATATCAAACTCCCAACAAGCTGACGATATAATGTAGGATCCTCAAGAAGAGAGCCATCAAGTGGAGTAAGACGAACATCATAATCAAGAGGAGTGGAAGCTGTCTGACAATCAGTGAGACCGGCCCGAGCAAGAAGATCAGAGGCATACTTGGCTTGAGACAAATAGAATCCATCAGACGAATCAGAGATCTCAAGACCCAAAAAATAGCGAAGCTGACCCAAACTCTTCATCTCAAAATGATGACGAAGATAATCCTGCAAATCGGAAATACCGGTAATATCATCCCTGTGACCATCATATCGTCAACATAGAGTAGCAAAATAATGATCCCGGAGAAGGAGCACCGAAGAAATAAAGCAGAATCGTGATCACTCGTAGTGAAACCAAACTGAAACAATGCAGAACTGAACGTGGCATACCAAGCACGAGGGGCTTATTTCAAGCCATATAAAGCTCGACGTAGACGACAAACTTTCCCAAATGACAATGATCCAGGAGGAGGAGTCATGTAAACCTCCTCAGACAAGGCACCGTGTAAGAAGGCATTCTTGACATCTAACTGTAGAAGAGACCATCGACGAACAGCAGCAACTACAAGTAAACACTGGACAGTAGTAAGACGAGCAACCGGTGCAAAGGTCTCTTCATAATCTATGCCATACTCCTGGGAGTAACCCTTAGCAACCAAACGAGCTTTGTAGCGCTCAATAGATCCATCTGAATTTGTCTTGATCTTATACACCCACTTGCATCCGATAGGAGTCTTGCCAGTAGGTAAATCCACCAAATCCCAAGTATGAGTCTTTTCTAAGGCCTGTAATTCCTCAATCATAGCTTTTTGCCACAATGGATCAGCATTCGCCTCACGAAAAGACCTAGGCTCATGATGAGATAGAATGGCTGAATAACAATGATAGTCAAGTAAGTGAGAAGGGGGACGACTTACACGAGTCGACCGTCGCTGATCAATAGCTGGCAAAGGTACAGAATCAGAAGAGGGCTCAGTACGAACTGTCGGTTCAAGATGCACAGGTGGAGCCACTTCAGAAGACGGAGGCATGACAGGCGTGTCAATGAGCTGTGAGTCAGAACCTGTATCTGTATCTGGAAAAAGATCTGAAGTAATAGACATGAATAAAGGAGACGTCGAATTAAACGGAATGTGGAACTTAGACAAGGAGGAAAAGGTAGTATGCTCCCAAAAGGTAACATGACGCAAAATACGCAACCGATTAGAAATTGGATCCCAACACCTAAATCATTTGTGTTCTACCCCATAACCCAAAAAACAACACATACGAGCTCGGGGTTCTAATTTGGTCCGCTCATGAGACGGAAGAAGAACAAAGCATACAGAACCAAAAGGACGTAACTGAGTATAATCAGGAGACTGACCGTACAACCTCTCAAAAGGACTAACATCACTAATGACTGATGAGGGTAACCGATTGATAGCATAAACAGCAGTCAAGGTTGCCTCACCCTAAAAACGATCAGGACACTGAGCAGAAAGAAGAAGAGCCCGGACAGTATCAAGGATGTGACGGTGTTTACGTTCAGCTCGTCCATTTTGTTGGGAAGTATATGGACACGAACGCTGAACTAAGGTGCCCTGGTCAGAAAGAAATTTCAAAAAAGTAGAATCTTTGTACTCAAGAGCATTATCAGTATGCAAGACCTTTATAGGACAAGAAAATTGTGTAAGAATCATGTTAGCAAATTGAACATATATGCTGGATAACTCAGAACGATTTTTGAGAAAATAGATCCAGGTAAAACGAGAAAAATCATCAACAAAAATAACAAAATACCGAAAACCACTCAGAGTAGCAACAGGAGAAGGACCCCAAATATCAGAATGTACCAAACAAAAGGTTTATCAGCAGTTGACAAACTATCAGAAAAGGAAAGAGCCGGTTGTTTCCCAAGTTTGCAATGAAGACAACTAAAAGACTCAAAATGACCTAAACCCAAAAGACCCTTATTATATAAAGAACGAACTTTATTCGAAGACGCATGCCCAAGACGAAGATGCCACTGGAAACTAGACTTACTATCGGTGGCAGAAGCAGAAAAAGAGTATGAACAAGGGACATAAAGTGACTCAAGCTCAAATAACTGGCCCGTCTTGCGACCTTTCCCGAGAAGCTGTCCCATCTGTGAATCCTGAACCTGAACACCAGAAGATAAAAATATAACATTAAGACCTTGGTCAACTAGTTGACCAACAGAAATAAGATTCAAGGTCAAGTCAGGAATGCAGTATGTGTCGGGAAGATGCAAGGAAGGGGAAGAAATCAAACCAGTGTGAGTAACATTCATAAGAATACCATTAGCAGTATGTATAGGAGGTAAAGAGGTTACGGAAGACGAAGAAGAAAAAAGTTGTGGGCTAGAGGTCATGTGATTGCAACAGCCAGAATCAAAATACCAATGTGATTAACCTCCGGTAGCAGACATAGAAGAATTGGAAAGAATAACCTGTTTGAGAATAGCTTCTATGTCTTGAAGAGTGTAAGACGGATGCTGAGGCTCAGTAGTGACAACCGCTGTAACAGGAGAAGTGGCGGTGGAGGAAGACCCATGATGTCGATAGAATGAACCTCTCGAACGGTGCGATCTGTCTGGACAATATGTAGCAATATGACCCCGAACATGACAAATGTGACACACCACCGTAGGACAAAATGAAGCAATATGACCCCGAACATGACAAATGTGGCAGACCACCATAGAAGAATCCATATCCAAAAAATAAAGAAGCACCAGCAACCAGCAACAGTACCAAGACGAAAGAAAATTATGAACTGGATCACAAACCGGATAAAATAGCAGAAAAAGGCCGAAATTAAAAGTTCACCAAAACCAAATCCGAGCACACCACAAGGTAGCCGACTATGAGAGGAGTCGACGGCCAAAAAAACGATGGTGATCGGAGCAGGGGGTGGTCTTCACGCGCCGTCGGAAACTGCCGGCGCTGTCGCACTGTTCCGTCGCGTGTGGGGCCCACGCGCGGAGTTACTGCCTGAAATTTCCGGCGAATGCTCGCCGTGAGACGCCGGAGGTGATGGTCTGGGAGGTGAGAATAAACGGTGGCCGGAGAGGAACGAGAAAACACGAAACTTATATTGAACCCTAACCTAGTCTGATACCATGTAAGAAATTGGGAAAAATATGATATGTATTATTCACAAGACATGTACACATATATATAGATACATAGAAGGGCTTTAGCCGCCTAAACCTAACTTATTGTACAAGAAAACATTTAACATAACTAATAGAAACTTCGGCTTCATTGTGTCTCGCGCGATCTGCTTCGTAGGAGCTTCTCTCTTAGGTTAGGTTTGGCCTTCGGTCTTTCCAGTCAATGGAATACCGACGGAGAGGTGGACTGAGTGTTCTACGTGGGTTTGGATTGACTCTCCCCCGTTTTCTCAGTTCGTACCCACTCGGAGGTCATGTTTTCGGTAGTACTTTGGCGGCTTTGGGACCGAGAAGTCTAGTACGATTGGACCGGCATTGCCTTGTGTTGGGTTGGAATCAAGTCCTTTTTGTTGTTTTTGGGGCAGTCGATGGTGAGGTTTGAGTTTGTTTCAAGAGGCTCGAAAAACCTTTCATAAATTTTGAGTTTTGGAAAAGTGAGGTGAAGTCATTGCTAGGGGCCGCTTCATGGTTTCTTTTGGCCCCAAGACGTTCCAACTCTTCTTGGGATGAAAACATCTTTCTCGTAAATTTTGTGGTGTAAATGTGGGTTGAAGTTACTCGAAAATAAGTGATGGATCACTCTTTCTAGAGACAATTTGTTGACGTGTGAAATTCGAGTCAATGGGTTATGAAAATTTCCTAAGTAAAAATTGTAATAATACTGAACAAGGTCAGATGACTGTATTTTTATATAACGAAACCACTCGGACAATTAGTACAACAGAGTTATTCTTAGAAAGAGAATATCCCATTTTCTCTTTGGTACAATAAATAACGAGTATTTATAGTGTAAAACCCACGGGCACTATTCACGGTGTCAGTACATCAACATTTAATGTGATTAAGTGACGGTGTGCGGCTCTGTAAGCCGAGTCCCACGTCTAATGATCACTTTTCGACAGTACGATGGACATGCGTCTTGTCTGCATTTAAACATTGTCAGAGGTCGATCTTCAAAGTATCTTGATCAGCTTCTTGTGGTTGAGTAACCGAGCTCCTTGTGAAATTTATTTCGTTGTCGAACTGTTTACTTTTCACTGTTTTATCTCCAGGCAGTTACGTTATTTGAGCCACGTGTCGGTCGATTAGGGGGCAAAAGTTCGGGTGTCAACAGGAACCTAGTCGGATACACTAACAAAAATATTATCGTCGATGAGATTTAAATTAAGTCAATGTTATGCTTTGTTTGCTAATATTCAAAAGTTTTTTTTTAATAAAATTGCAAATGTGTAAGGTGTTGATATCAACTACAATTAGACCTAATAAAAGACTTGGTTTCTTGTATTAAATGAGGTCGGGCCTTGAAATAGAAGAACCCACGTTGGGTATGGGCACGAGCACCAACAAAAAGCACCTAGAGAAATATGAGTCATGGTATTGAGTTAATGAATATATGTGTAAAGTTATTTATGTCTAACACCAAATTTAGCTCCAGACCAAAATAATATAAAAACAACATCACGAAGCATAGATTTTCGCCATGTCAGCATCCGAAGCGTGAGAATCTACCACCTAGACTCAACACGTTTATCTCATCAAAACCAATGATAATAAGTCAAAAACAGTAGCAACCATTTTCAACTATTCCTCACTCACTAATAACTCACTCACTTATTAGAGATTCAATTATTCATTCATTTCCTCAATTTCTCTATCATTTTTCCCTCAAATGGCGGCCTCCAATTCATCTCTCCTCCTTCCTCTGCTTTTTCTGCTCTCAGGTAACCTATAAAATGTACAATTATTTACTTATATTTCAATTTGTGCCTACTCGCTTACCTGTTTGAATCAATTTTTGTGGTTCCAATCATCAATTGGCAGCCGCATTGTACTTTCCGGCGGCGTCCGGCCGCGGCTTCTGCATCAACTACGGCCGCATCGCCGACAACCTCCCCCCGCCGGAGCAGGTCGCCGGCCTCGTCAAGTCCATCCACGCCGCCCGCATCCGCCTCTACGACGCCGACCCCCGCGTCCTCCGCGCCTTCGCCGGCACCGGCGTCGAGATCACCGTCGGCCTCGGCAACGAGCACCTCGCCTCCATGCGGGATCCCTCCGCCGCCCTTGCCTGGGTCCGATCAAACGTCTCCTGCTACCTCCCCGCCACCAAAATCACCTCCATCAACGTCGGCAACGAGGTCCTCACCGCCAACGGGACCTCCGCCCCCGCCGCCTCCCCCGACGACCTCCTCGCCGCCGTGGAGAACGTCCACGCCGCACTCGTTACCCTCGGCCTCGACCGGCGCGTGTCCGTCACGACCGCGCACAATTTGGGGATCCTCGACGCCTCCTACCCGCCGTCGGCCGGGGTATTCCGAGCCGATCTGGAGCCTGTCCTCCGCCGCCTCCTCGACTTCCACTGCACCTCCGGCTCGCCGTTCATGATCAACGCGTACCCGTACTTCGCGTACAGGGACAACCCGGGACACGTGTCCCTGAAGTTCGCGCTCTTCGAAGGGGACGGCATCGTGGACACCAAAACGGGCCTGAAATACGAAAACATGTTCGAGGCCCAAATCGACGCGGCCCACGCCGCGATGGAGAAGCTAGGGTACAGGAACGTCTGCCTCCAGGTGTCGGAGACGGGCTGGCCGTCCAGGGGCGACGGCGGCGAGGCGGGAGCGACGCCGGAGAACGCGAGGGCGTACAATAAAAACCTGCTCCGGCGGATTAATCAGAATGGGGGAACGCCGATGAGGCCGGATATGGATCTGAATGTTTATTTCTTCGCGCTGTTCAACGAGAATCAGAAGCCCGGGCCCGCGTCGGAGCAGAATTTCGGGCTGTTCAACCCGGATATGACGCCGGTGTACGATCTAGGGTTCAATTCGAAGGGATCCGGCGGGAAGACGCCGTCTGGGTCGCCGGTGGTCGTAATGTCTCCCCCGGACGGCGGTTACATGGTCGACGGCGCGGTGAGTATTTCCTTTTATTCCCAACGTCTTTTTCTAAATATTGCTTCTTTTGCTAATTTTTAACTTTGCTAATTTTATTTTTTACCAAACCCTAGTCTATGATTACCGTTAGATCATTATGTAACTATTGAAAATAGTTGATCTAACGGTTACAAATTCTGATAAAGTGGTTTCGTAACGAGACCGTAACATCTCCCACGATTAGTATAGACCGTAACAAAACTCCGAATTTGTGTAATATTCTTTAGACAAAATTTGATAAGAAAAGCTATAATTGATGAAATGATGAAGATGAATCATACAAAATACCAGTTGGCGTGACTGTTGTGTGTAGTGAGTATGGGCCAATTTAGAAATATTTTTTTTTAATTTATGATACAGCCACCACATTTTGAGTTCTACCATTTTTGGTCCCAACTGCCCCATGTGATGCATGTCTGGTTCATAATTCTCACTAGTCACAAACTATTGTAACTGTGAGACGGTTTAACACTTAAACGGATCGATTCGTCATATTATACGAACAAAAATGCATATTTATACTAACAAAAGTATGAATTGGATTGTGCTATTAAGATAAGTAGAAACATATTTTTTTCACATCAAAAGCTAGTGTAAAAAAATAAAAAATAAAAAAAAAATAAAAAATAAGTCTTTTTAGATTTGAGCTTGGAGAATAAATGAAGTCTTTATAACAACAATGATGGCACTCCATATTAATAATTACAACATTTTTTGTAGTGTCCATCATAGTAATTTTTTGTTGAAGTTATTTTGTTGTTGTCCTTTAAAGAAGTTGAATAATATATAAATCATCATCATATCATGTTATTTTCAATCACATATTTAACACAAAATATAACTCAAATTCACCTCAAACTCAATCTTTCTCATTATTATCAATACTATTACATAATTCAAATCAATCGTCATTACGCATCGCATCGACTTTAATTCACTATTTATCTACTGTCATAGTTTTAACTACTAATCATTTTCAATAATATTATTAATATTTTTCAAAATTAACTTTGGTTAACCAAAAAATCCAATCAAAACCAATGAAAACCCAAATTGATTTATCCAAGCCACCCCTTAGATTCTTGGACAAAGGAAAAGGATATGTGGACCACAATTTGTGCTTTTAAGATGATGCCTTCTTCATATTCAATGGTTATCTGTAATTTTGTCTAGTGATGCATATTGAGTTGGTACAATATAAATGACCCTCAATCCTAGCCTAGATCTAGTGTAAGATAGATCTACCTATCTATTAGATTTTATTCTACATTTTTCAACAAAAATGCAGTAGTTTCGAAAAACGAGTCAACCAACCTAACCGTTAAATCATTTCTTCAAAACCCGTCGATCTTAAACTTATGTGGTGTGTCTCAATTACAGGAGGGACATAGACTCACTAGAGAAGGTGCGTTGTTGTCCGCTTCGTGTTTGGTGGTTTCGACAATTTTATTGCGCTACAATTCCGGTTTCTTTTGAAACGGTAATCGACGATGGAAACATTGAGTTCAGATGATGGAGTTCGAAAAGAGAGGAATAAGAGAGACTTGTCAAAAAGTTTCTATTCCTTTTGCATATAAGCAAGCAAATAAGAAAGAAACAAGTTGTTGGTTAGTTTTCAAATCACCTGTCTTCTTTGATAGCTTTGGAGCACTAAAAGTTGCAAGGACGAATAGATATTGGCCGTCACTATTATATTGGGCTGTGGGCCAAGTGGGCCGCGAACTTCTTTTCTCTTTTTAGCTGGCAATTATGCCTTGCTGTTTTCTTTCCCCAGTGTAACTGTTTAGCCATTGGTATGAAAATATTTAATTTTTCTTTATGTTTAGGGTTAGCCATTCTTATTGTTGTAATTTGTTGATGGTACTGGAACCAGACTTGAAGAGTTTTTTTTCATCATATTATTATTATTATTATTATTATTATTATTATTATTATTATTATTATTATTTGAAAATAGTGCATTTTTGAGTTATTAGTATTCAAACTTATTCTAACTTCCATGAAATCATTGAGCACGGATTATATTCTATTGAATAAATGTTAAGGCTATATTTGGTAAAACAAATAAGCTAGCTTATAGCTTATTTGGTTAATTTATAAGCTCTCTGTATTCAAATAAGCCTTGTTTGGTAAGACGAGTTTTTTTAAAAAAGCTCGACCTTATTTGATAAGCTTCTTTAGGTAGCTTTTTAAATAAGCTAGTTGATTATTTTATTCCAACTAGTTTAACAGCTAATTTTGTCAAACATTTTATCATATAAGCTGGTTTTTCAGATATAATTCATAAGTTACAAGTTATAAGTTCAAAAATTACTGATAAGTTATAAACTAGTTTATCAGCTAGTTTTGTCTAACATACTAAATCTTCCCAGTAAATTTAGACATACTAAATCTTCCCAGTAAATTTACCTTATATTTATGCTGAGGTCACACATACATTCAACTTCTAATTCCCTATTCTATATGTGTGTTCCAATTCACATTTTAGTATATCGTAGTGACATTATTATGCACACGTCATTAATTAAAGAGTGAAATATAAACTAAAATACAGGAATATGACGTTGCAGTCCGGTAGTTATACTGGTCTAGCCATCGATATGCGGTATTAACAGTCGGACCGATAATATCGGTGGTATTACCGGATTAGTAAATATAATGATATATATAAATATTCATAAAAATATATAATACCAAATGCAAAAAAAAAAAAAATGATCATAATCAGTAATTTCAATTTCTCAATGATATAAAAATAAAACATTTTAACTACAAATTTAAATTTTATTTTTTAAAATTATTTTATTTTTATTGATCGGTATTTTGCGGTTTTTACGGTATGATCACGGTACAAACTGGTATAACCGTAAATTCGGTATTTTGAGTGTAATTGTATCGTACCAATAGCCGGTATCCGGTATTATCGGCCAGTACTGAGTTGCACCTCATTTCATAATAGCTCATTTGTAATCCAAAAATTTCCTACCAAAAAATCGAACATAGCATGTTTTTCTCGATATATACATAAATTTTTCTAATCCAATATCCTCCAATTTGACGTTCTCATTTTCATCAACAAACTTCGCCGTCAATGCATTCGCTCTATCTTTCTAATCCATTAGAAATCTTTACAAGCCTTGCTGTGTGTCTTGGCTAATAAGAGGCCATGCTACTGTCAAAGAACCAGTTACGGTAGATTTTACCCTAGGGTAGATTTTACCCTGCGGTAGAACAACACATAAGCTGCCGATGTCTTTATTTCAGACTCGTTTATGGGCGAAACGCATGAATCATCAAAGTCATACCATCTGTCCTCATCTATTAACTGCACGAAAATAGGAATTAAATTTGGCTTGCATTCATTCGAAACAAGAAGATAATACTACTGGCAGGCAGTAAAACTTAAGCAGAGGCGCGCATAAGAATTTTCAGGTAAGGAAACAAATAAAATAAAATAAAATAAATAACACTAGGTAATTGTATATATTCATATGCTGTCAATAAATACACACTAATATATGAAAATTGTATGTGCGAACCAGCTAGCTTAGCCCATTGATAGAAAAATGATAATATGTAGTTTTGATGCACACAGATATAATTTGTTACCAACTTTAATCCAGTTACATAATAGCGAACATTAATTTTTCTTATTGATTTTTATATCGAGCGTTAGAAAACAGCTGTTTAAATACGAACATTCATATAGATATATCATATATGTAAAGCTGAATGCAGCTCAAAAAGATTACCTTGCAATATGCCGTGTAGTGTCCCCCACCAAGGCCCCCATAGTGATTGCTGATGGCATAGAGCTCATAGACATGTGAGCCACTTGTCGTGCCATCATCACTCTTCACATATCTGCTCAAATCAAGGTTTTGAATAGGAAAGTTGACAAACTTGTCGAGTTTGTTCGTCAGCCATCGGCTATGAGAGAATCTTTTCAGGTGAAAGACAAGTATATCCGGCAGCCTCCATAAATCCAACTTTTTACTTGCTTGTCTATGTTCCTTGCACCGAGGACAATACCTTCAATTATTCAATAACACAAGAAAACGTAAGAAAGGAAAAAAAATCCAAATTTGCAGTGTTTGTTTACAAAATATTTCACACATTCAATTCATACTCAAAATTTAACTCAACTTTAACTCAACCACACTATCCTTAATATTATTCATATAATTAAATAATACAAACTAATAAATCTTACACATCACATCAACTTATAATTCACTATTCACACACTCACATAATTTTCACATCATCTCTCTTCTGCTTTTACATCAAATCAATTTTAATTATTTTAAGTATTATTTAAATACAAACTTAAAATCCTACTAACAACTCACCATAGCACTTTTTTCATCAAAATTAACCCTGGTTAACCAAAGAATTAATTTGAGCAGATTAATTTGTTATGTCCACATAAAACGCAAAATATTTAAAAACATGTTGACCATACCACATATCATCAAGACCAAGGGGCTCCTCCTTTAGAAACGCATCCAAGCACGAAAATAGAGAGATGGACTCCTGCTTGATTTTCTTTGCTTTGTGCACCTCAGGAAGATCCTTTAGGTAGCTGGCATCATACAGCTCGTGTTCCTTTTCAGTCCAGTCGAGCAAAACTTTGACTGTACGACCTGGCTTTATGGGCGAGCCCTTTACTATAGGCCAGCAGCCAAAACCCGTATCTTTAGTAATGCAAAGCTGGAGAGATGACTCTCGGCTTGACATGCCCTTTGGCTCCATTTCATCTCTTGATTGGAGGAGTTCATGTTCCGGCTCAGTGCCTGAAATCTCCATTTGATCTCCCATTGCATGATTATCATCACAGCCATTTTCTTTTCCATTGCAGTGGATTGTTGTTGAAGTAAGAAATGATTTCCTTCTTAGAGGGGAGAGCATTCGGTTTACGGCAAGCTCAATATCAGCTCCACATTGTGGGGGGTCCTCCAAGGAAGTAACTAATGGTGTTAAAAACATCTTCCGTTCACTAATGCAAAAAGAAAAGGTGGTATTGTCACGATCAGCAAGCCAAGAGTAATAAGTTGAAATTGAATCATAAAATATCATTTATTAGCATAACATTAGGCCATGGGACAATAATACAAGAAATATCAGTATTTTCTTTATCTGTATGTAATCATGCAACACCAACTGAAATTACAGTGAATTCTATTACCTAGTTTATATAATTATTTTTGAAGTTTTTAAGAACGAAATCTATTAGCATCGCACTGAATTAATTCAACTAATCAAATTAATTGCTACAACTTATACGTACACGAACACTCACTTTCTTTCAGAATACTTACCAGGGGAAGAAATAGAAAGTTAATCACAATAATGCAATTAATGCAAATGCATGCTTGTCACAAAGCATTATAAGATCTAGACAATGATGTAAAAACTTAAGCTTTTTTACATGATTTAAAATTTAGTATAGAACGTGAATAAGCAAAAAAGAAAAGTAACATCATAATGACTAAAATTATGTACATAAAAATAAGACAAAGAAAGCTTGCCAACCAAAAAGCAAATAACTCACATTTCCTGGTACCGGTGGCATATCTCTATCCTTGTTAGATCCATGTCTTTTTTGGGAAGTCTGTATGCAACAATATGTTCCTCGTCCCTAACCTCAGCCAAAGATTCCGATGGATTTTCCAGGTACCGATATATTCGGTGTCTATAGACCTACCGATAAAAGACACAGTCTCAAGGTAACTGGGATAAAATATATAATGCAAAACCATGACATACAGAAATAATACATAATAAATGCAAATAATAGTGACCTCAGCAAGAAGCAAGTATTCATCACTGCCTAAATGGCAAGCAATGCCCAAAGCCTTGATAAGATCTTTGCAGCATCCTTCCTTGAGAACCGTAACAGTGAAAGGCATAGGAAGGCCACTTCCATCACCATAGAAAACCGTTATTGTCATTGACCGAGTAGCAGTTGAAGGAAGAGGCAAGGAGAGATACATGAATGGATCAAAAGTTATTGAAATCTTGTTGCAAACAGGGCAAATCAGTGTCGATTTGTATTGGCCCTGATAAAATTAACACCCATTAGACAGGTATCACAAAAAGATAGATACAAAGAGAATAAAATAAAAGCAAATTTCTCAACATTAAAATTCAAGAAATAACATATATTACAGCAGTGTTGGATGGAAACTCAGTTTCCGAAAACTGCAACTAATGGAGAGCAATATGATAAACACAAACCATCACATGGGCATTATTCAAGTTACCAACGAAGTATAAGAGACTTGCAATGACTTCCCCGAAGAGCAGCTATTGAGTAAATAGCTTCAGTTATTGTAGCTTCAGATAGTAAAGTATTAGAAAGGAAAAAAAAATGCAAGTCATCAATCCCATTAGTACAGTATTTGAAAAAAACAGAGGGAGAGAGAGAGAAAGAGAGAGAGAGAGAAAGAGAGAGAGAGAGAGAGAGATGTAAGTCATCAATCCCAATTAAAAAATCTACCAATTAATACTAACAGAAATGTATAAAATAATTAATATTTCAGGCAGAAACACATTTTAACAATAATTATATATATCGAAACACACACACACACACACACAAGCACTAATAAATTAACATGTCAGGATTTAACAATCCTCAACTAAAACAAATACCGGTTTTCTATAATAAATTTGAAAAAATCATCCAAGATGGAACTATCGTCCATTATGCGTAAAACACAAACAATACAGCGCAAGTAACCTGGCAAACATCGACAATTATCGAATCATTTCTGGCTTTGTGATATCTCCAAAACTCATCCGCGACTTCTTCATCAGGTCGACCGTCAAAATCTTTTGTTTCAATATACGGTTTCTGTTTCACACGATTTAGATCTTCATGAAGCCCATCAAGCAAAAACGCAAGGAGTTCCTGAAAACAAGGTGCAAATCATTCTTCTAAACAGAATAATCATTATTTATTAACTTTCTATCATAGGAACCAAGCTCATCGGCAGCAAGATACTCTAAAAATAGAATGTATCCATATAGTTATGTTCAAAATTACTACACATTGCAGTTTCTTCTGCTATATATGTGATATCATCACAAAAGGCCCATAAAACTATATTACTTCAGATGGCCAAAAAGACGATAATTCATTAAACATTTGGGGGAAGGAACCAGAACACACAGGACTTAAGAAATGTGATGTATAATCTGTGTTTTGTGATTTTATCTTATAGATACCGGATTTCACTCTATTCAGCCAGGAAACCAACCTGAGAATCATGCTGGCTATACCCACTAAACTGCGGAGCAAATCGAGCAAGCTTCCCCTTAAACACACGAGGGTCAACTGGTGCTCCACCAGAAGACCAGAGTTTCCGCAACAGATATCCAAAGGCAAGAGCAAGTTCCCCCTAATATTAATAATGATAATAATAATAATAATAATAATAATAATAATAATAATAATAATATTAATATATTCCATTATGAAATCTTGCACAACTGGTAGAACAGAGAACCTACATGCATTCCCAAAGGGTTTTGTTCGTTGATCTCATCAGAGTAATCTTGCAAGAAATAGTCAGCCAGGTTTGGTGTATGAACTAAACACTGAAGAGCACTATTCATGAAGCAAGTGTTCCCCACATTTGGCAATCCTGCCAAACCTCCCCCAACTCCCCTCGTTACAGGCTTTAAATCATCATATCCATTTTCCATATCTCTGTAAGTGGAAGTAGATGCACTTGTTTGGTATAAGCTGGAGCTATAAGCGGTTGAATTACCATTAGACATAGTAGGGCCACCGGCAATCGAAAAAGGGAATCTTATTGGTTCCACTGGAACCAACGCTAAGAAATTGCCGGTTGAATCCATGCCAAGATCATCTGCTGGAACCTCAAGAAGAATCTATAAAAACAAGATATAGTATTCAGATCTCAAGGCAACATGCTATCCACATACAGAAATTAATAGTCACAACAAATGAACGACAATGCAAAGTGACATCTAATCATGTTGCCTTGAGAATTATTTAAAGCACAAATTACATACACAAACATTACCATTAGTTGTTTTAACCATCACATAAAGATAATCAGCAGGCTTTATCAAGATTTTTTTTTTTTGGTCGTTAAAAAAATTATAGAAGTAATCCAAACAACTTTAATGAAATGAAACAGAAAGTGGACTGAGACACAATTTCAAGATTTTTCATAGATCACGAGAGGGAATATCTCATTAAAACTTAAGAAGATAGAGTCTTATTTTGGTCCCTTAATCGAGTCTAGTCTATACGATGTCAATCATTTGGGAAAATACAAATATAGGTGATCAGCTTATTGTAGTGCACTCTCCATCAACAATATTCTGCTAAATTTTGTAACTTCAAGATCCAAATACTGCCCATAAGATAATTAACAAATTTACATTTATAAATTTAGATATAATTGAGGTGTCTAGTCAGCAAATGAATCAAAAAGTTAAATACAATTAAATAATTCACAGGAGAACGTTACAGCAGCAGAATAATTTCCCAAAGCAGACATTAATTAGAGAACCCTAAAAAATAACAGGATTATTAATGACAAAAGTATCTCTCCCAACAACACCAAGCAGATCAACCTACATTTTGATCCATCGCCAAATTACACTCCTGCAGAGTTTGGCTAGACGACATTAATATAGTTCGCTTCTCCTTATTAAAGTAGTCCCAGATGCATGCCTGCATAATTTGGAAAGAGATGATTAATACAGCAATAAACGTCTCAACATGATCCGTAGACAGGTAATAATGATATAATCTGTCCATTACCACACCTTTTCGGTTTGCAAGCCTTTAAGCTGACAAACTTTCACATAGAGGTCGTGTATGGAAGCCTGAAACACAAAATCAAGTAGTGTGGCTCTGTGTTTAGATATATAATACTAGCCGATGCCTCACTTAGAACCAAACAAGGAGAATTAAACAAGTGCACGATTGTTTTAGTCCACATACCAGGTTGATATGTATGTATGGTTTGCATAGACATGAATGTGAAATTAGCGTAAATAAAGTAAACTTATTGCACTTCACAAACTCTAGTCTCAACAGTGAAAAAGTATCACAATGCATTCATAGTTAATAATAATATGTAGATTTAACAAAGGCAAGAATACAAATTATGAACTCCAGCCTCAACACGAAGCATGCCGAGTTATAATGTAAAATTAATAAATGTAATATGCACAACTTCGAAAATATATCAATAGCGTATAAAAGGGAAAACATGCAATACATATACAAATAACATAGGATGGAAAAGCCATAGCAAGCATCATATCTTCAATCGATATCATCCAAACAAAAGGAACTAATAACAAACAAATCAAGTAATTATACCTTTCTACTAAGTCTTATAATTACTTCACTCAGATCTCTAGAGTCAGTTAGCCGGAGAGAAAGGGGGAAGACCTCCACAACAAATTGTTTCTGTTGATCCCCAACAGAAATCATCTTCCGTGGCAACGCTGGACCTCCTTTATACCTGAGGACCAGGTAATACAAAGTTCAAAAACATAATAAGTGAATCAGTGATAGGGACCAGAGTTGTTGGGTATGTAACTACCCAACAACCTCAGTTAAGTACCAATTTTTTATGTTGCACAAGCAAGCAAAAGTGGTATCAAGTAATCGCCCAAGCAAACGATGAAAGAGTCAACAGAAACTTGTTTATAGCCCACACAAAAACATCCAGTATCACCACTGAAATATTTCGCTTTTGTCTTGATAATGGACAAATGCACTAGACTTAGAATCCACAGTTCATTAACCATCAAATTATGCTGTCGGTATCGGCATCACAATTTATTTAATATTAACATTTAATTTTAAAATATAATAAGACTAAGGAAATGAAATGAATAGAAAAAAAGAGCTTTATGCCATAGAATATTACCATTTCGAAAGCTTCTCCCAAACTTCTTGTGGAACTAAAACATAATCGCGCAATTCCTCCAGAGTTTTGAGAAGCTGTGGGTCATCAACGTCATAGTCCAATCCACTCTCAATTATACCCCTGTTGTCAATAACTCCTGGCCTATCCAATATTAGAGATCGAGATACAATAAAATGATCTTCAAATGGATAAGCACCTTCCTTTAGCCCAGTGTAACTCTGCCATTCTCTGAACCACCTAAAAAAGTAGCAAACCAACAAGATCATTTGATGTCTGGATATCGGAAAATATTTTTTTTCAATGGACTGTTGAAGTCCTAAGTTCAACTTTCAATCATACAGCAACAGGATTTAATTTCCAATATGCAGTACTACGAATCGATCAACAACAATAAATCTAGAGCATATCTGCTACTTCATTAAATCTACAGAGCATATTCTCGATTGTCCAATAACTAGATTTAATAGTAGCATGTTTCTGTTGAATACACTATAACGGAAATTTGGAATGTGACTAGAATTTTTTTCAGTTTATTAGTTTCGCTTTTATGCTCTTTATTTTGAATTTTTATTATATTTTGGTTGATTGGTTATATACTTCACTAATAAAAAAACCAATCAAAACTCAAATTTAACTCAACTTTAACCCAACCCCACTATACTCAATTTTAACAATATAATTAAATAATACCAATCATTCTTACACATCACATCAACTTTAATTTACTATTCATTCACTCACATAATTTAACTAACTATCACAGCCAAACATTTTTCTCCTACTTGTACATCAAATCAAATTTAATTATTTTGTTTTATTTAATATTATTAACAACTAACCATATAGCATTTTTCAAAATTAACAAAAATTAACTATAGTTAAAACAAAAAACCAATCAAATCCATATTTAATCACACCGTTAGGATTATATTTAGTTTATTTATTAAATAACCAACCACCCCTTTTATTATTTTTGCTATTTTAATTAATAAGAAATAATCACAACTTAATTTACACTAATCATGGGATCTCACTCTTGCTTGCCGCTACTACTAGTTATACTAATAGTTAGTGGAAGTTAGTCATGGAAAATATATAAATTCATAATAGGAATATCTTAGCCTGACACAAAGGAAGCACACATGCTCTTCTCCTTCAAAGAATGACTCAAATATTAACAAAATTAACTAATAGCTCTACTTTGATATTAAAAAGTAAATGTAAACTTGTTTTGTAGTTTGCTATTCAATTGCAACGGAATAATGGTCTCAATCCAGTCGATCACCAATTCTTAAAGGCTCACACAGACAAATTTTACAATAGCCACCAAGAAGTTCTATTTAGGAAAAATATACGAAGCAGCCCATTCTACTCGAGAGGCAGCATGTTGCAACATAACACTCAAGATTGGTGCAGAACATATCCAATTCATTAAAATCTCCTTCACGACAAAATCACGATCAAAACTTGCAAACATATCTATCAGCAACAGAAATCATAATATCCATCTCCTTCATCAACTTAAACAAAATTGAAACGCGATAACAACGACGACAATGGAGGAAAAAAGGTTTTAACAGCAATCAATAATCAACTACCCACAAACAACAAAAACAAAAAAATCAAGTTTACCGGCTACAAACGACGAAGTACAAGTTCCCCTCCCGCTGATTAGACTCAGCTTTGGCAGTCAATTCCTCAACAATCCTCCTCTCCTCTTCCGGCATGCACGGCAGTTCTGTCGACCCATTCTCCATCATGTAGCTATACGCCGACGAATCTGGAATCGTCATGACCTGCGCTGCGTTAAATCCAAATACAAAGCAAACCCTCAAACATCAAATCGGTCCAAACAAAATGCGGAACCCTAGGTTATGATGAACTTCTGGATTTTCGATCGAAAAATCTGGGAGAAAAATCGTCGAAAATCGAGGAGACTTCAGTCGGGAACAACTCTTGAGTGTTCAAATGGCGAATTCTGTCTATATATATACACGCACTCACATACAAAACGTTTATCGAATTAAAAATCTGGTTTTTTAATTCATTACTGGTGGGGTACCGTGCAATTTACTTTATTAAGATAAACATTTAAATTTGAATGATTGGATGATTCGCATTAGTAAAACTATGTATGAGCTAATTTTATTAAGATAAGTATTTAGATTTGAATGATTGGATGCTAATTTTATTAAGATAAGCATTTAGATTTGAATGATTGAACGATTGGAATTAGGTAAAACTTTACGCATGTACTGAAATGTAATTTATATATTATTAAACACATTTTTGTACACAACATTATTTATTTGATCTTGGTGCATCAACATATTATATTGGATATTAAGATTCTATCAATAAATCAATTAAATTATTTAGCAAAATATATACGATATGATTTATACTGGTTTTATTAATATTGCACAGCCAAATATAACGAAAATTGTAAAACGTCTTACTTGATAATCCATATCCTTATTATTTTAAAATTATAAATTACTTAATTTAAGAAAGAAAATATTTTGTAAGTGTATGTAATCAGTTTCAAATTTGTATTTTAGAGTATTAAACAGAACTCATATTTTTAGGATGTTCCAATTTAATCACGAATTAATATTATCTTACTCTGTTTTGAGGGATAATGAAATGAATATTAGAGCTCTCTTCACCACTCTCTCTCTGTTTTTTTTCCTCTGTTATTTCCTGCCCACAAATACCTCTCAAAATTAATTGAATTACAGTTATTTCCTGGTTATTTACCTCTGATACAGCTAGCTTGCTGATACTTATAATCCATTTTAAAGAAGAATTACCTGGTACAATCTTGAGAGAAATTCAACCTATACCCAACTTTTAATAAAATAATTGAATCATTTTCTTTACTAAAACATTCAAATTAGAAGTTTTTTACAACCTCTAATTCATTATCAAGCCCTCTAAATTTGGTTTCAAATCTTTGTTTGGTAGGCAACATATCATCATTCTTTTTTTTCTTTAAATAGATGAAAAAAAAAGGGGGTTTCAAGTTGCTAAAGTGGTGGCTTCACAGCCATCATGAACACAAGCCAACACATCTCTGTAGTCCCTAGCGACCGTAAAAGAGTCGTAAACTTTTCCATCACGACTCTTTTTGTACTCGAACGAAAGATACGAATGGTTGAATGCCGTGAGCTTCACGAAACCCCAGTCGTAATCCCTGTAGAGGCTCCAGCTGGCGCTGACGGGGCTGAACTCCGACAAGTGGGACCCACCTCCTCCCACCACCACGTGTATTGTCCCGTTCACTGTCCCCGAGTAGCGAGATTTTTCCGAGTTGACACATATGTTCTGCACCGAGCCAAAAAAACAAAAAAAGGTTAAAAAATGAATGAAACAGAGGTACATAATGTGAACCTGACTGGATTAAGGCTGTGCTACAAAATCTTCTGCTCTAACATGAAGTGATGTTGATGTAAGGATAAGATTAAAATCTCCAAATCGATTGGAATAAGAGCAAAAGTCGAACTCTTGCTCAAATGAGTGAGATTCTTTTTTTCTCATGTCTGCAAACAGTCCTTAAAAACTCTTCAACTAATGAAAACCGAGACTTGTCATAAATATACGGGTATGATGATGAGCAAATATGATCATTTGTAATTACCTGATAAATCGGGCAGCTTCTTTCGTAATTATGGACATGGCCATAGAATGCAATGTCCACTTTATACTTCTGCCAGAGTTTTTGCAGGCTCTCCCTTCCCATGGGCTCCTCGAACGAGCCTTCCAATCCATAATACTTGTCCGAAGAATAACCAAGAACTCGATGGGCTGCAAATACCAACCAGGGTTGTTTTTGTCTATCTACAGATGCTAGGCAATGCTCGATAAACTCGTACTGCTCCGACCCTTCTCTCCAGTCGTGCTCGCTATCTGCTATGCAGAAACGAAACATGCCGTAATCTGTCGAGTACCTGAAAAAATCGCATGTGGATTGTTAAATTTAGTGCTCTAGAGATCAAAAGGTAGTAAGTGATTTAGCTGGAAAGTTAAAAAAAATATCGGAAATAATCAGATGGAGCAACTATAGAAAGCCAAAAAAGAAAGAGGAAACAAGAAAGATGGCTTGTTCATAAGCTTTTTTTTTATTGGTTTTTTTTCGTTAACCGGGTTAATTTTCAGAAGTAGGTTGGGTTAGGTTTGAGTGGAATTTTGAGTTTGTATTAAAATAATATTTAAAATAAAATAACTAAAATTGATTTGATGTAAAAGTAGAAGAGAAGTGATTGGAAGTGATAGTTAGTTAAAATTAAGTGAATAGATGAATAGTGAATTAAGTTGATGTGATGTGTGAGAATGATTGATTGATATTATTTAATTGTACTGATATTGAAAGATAATATTGAGATAGTGAGATTGAATTAAAGTTGAGTTGAGATTGATTTAAGAAAAAAAAAATGTATCCAAGCATGCTTTAATATTTTTTTTTTTCTCGCATTCCTATTTAACTGACATCAAAGGAAAATAAATCGAAGATTGACAAAATCACAATCTATATCTATATATATATTAAAAGCCAACCTATTTACCAAAAATAGTAGCAAGAAAAGTCAACACACATTTAATGCAAACTTTATTTGGAAATATTTTACTATATGCATTAAATGCTTGCATATTTATATTTACTATCCAGATAATTTTTTTTTAAAATAATTTATGCAATGATTTTACTGATATCCATTATAATTAATATTTGCCGAGTAATATTTTTTAACCTTTATTTAATTATATAAAACTAATATTTTTTTAAAAAAATTAATATTATTTATCATTTAAAAGATAATGATCACATCATTAAATGATTTTATTGATGGTTAGAT